TGGAGTCCCAGGAGAGGGATGTGAGCAGTGAAGTCCCAGCAGGGAAGTGCTCTAAACCGGCAGACGAAGGTGCATTTTATCGTCCCTATCCCGGCTCACCGGCCCTACCGACCCTAGCGGTAGACTAGGTGAATTAGATGGCCGTGAGGCCCCTGTGAGTGCAAGGCCTTAGGCGACTTTCTAACTCACCTTATTAAAGAGCTGCCTCTGGATATTGACTTTCAGGTGTCCATTAAATACATTGTCAATGTCCTAAGCACATGTACACGAAAATAAGGTCCCAGGCTAATTTAGCTTGAGGCATGGTTCTTTCCTCAAGGTGTAAAAGATGGGTACCACTTACTTTACAAAGCTCAAAACAGGAACAGGTTTATTGCAGTTTGCAAAAAGTGGGAAGGAGGGTAAAGTGTGATTTAGGATATCCCCAAACCCATGGATGGTCATAAACACCAGACTAGATGCTAATCCTCTTCTGATTGTCTAATTTCTAATAACGTTTCTCTCTCTCCAATCTGCTCACAGACTGTGCTGTCTGGATACCGACATGGGTTTAGCTATGCAAAGATTAAGGTTCTAGTGGTATCCTAATCCTGGTATTTCAAGGCAGGAAAGCTGACAAGGTTTATGTAGTGCCTCATAAACTCAGCCAGTGTCTCCTCACCTCTCTCATGGGGTACAGCCACAGGTGCTTTCTCTAGGCTAACTCTTTAGGCTTCAGTGGTCAGCATCTTAGGTAATACCTCCCAAAAGGGAAGATCCCTCCTTCTTTCCAGTCCCTATGCCCAGATGCCTGTGGAGAGAGACAGATCTTACAGCAGCATTCTTACTGGGCAGAAATCCATGAGGCAAGAGACAGAAAAGAGACAATTATTCAACAGCAACTGACAGAGAATGTTCATTCTGTCTTTAGAGATCACGTCTGAAGAGATACAGAGATACAGATTACAGAGATACTGACTACAGCCCACTGCTTCCTACAGATCACAAAAGTGCAAAAAAGATTTTGAAAAAAGACTAAATCCCAACACATATATAAACAACGATTTATTTATCTATCTGTGTCTCTAGTTGTTTACTTTTGGAGAGTCCCAGACATGAAATATATGATGGGAATGTTTATGGCGATGGGAGTGCGATACAACCATTCCATCAGCATTCCACCAAGTAGGGTTAATATTAAAGTGACATTAAACCCTCAGATTTTTTAACATAAAACAATACTGTAATAGTTCATGAGGTTCATAAGGTTCATGATAAAAGGTAAATACTTAAGGCAAATACCAGATGATCTAATGTTAATGTTATTTCCTTTTTAAAATAGACAAAGAATTTTAGAACTGCATTTTCAATGGGATCCGCAAGGACTGCATTTAGCACCAAGCCCTCTGTCTAGAACTGAGAAAATATTTTTGTCTAACAAGTACGGAAAAATAAACGTTTTTGTGGCTACCAGCACCCTCTGCTTCTTTTTGAATGTTTTATTTACAATAAAAAGTATGTTAGTAACACCCGCTTTTCTCTCTTACAAACAATCTTTTCCTTTTCTTTTCAGTCTACCTGGAATTTGGCCATGGACAGCATTCTATGTTAATAGAGCAAATTCATGCATAGTGAGAATTGACTTGTTTTGAAGAAAGAGATGTATCTCATGGAATCGAAAGCTTACTTAAAGCCAGCAATAGTGGACACTCTTTATCCATGTTGTGGCTCAAAATGTTTTCTCTTTATAGTCACTCATGAAGAATTGCAAGATTACTTGTCCAGTTAGAGATGCAAACTATCTTAAAGCATTTTCTGTGTGGAACCACAATAGCAGATATGCTTTGTCCTCACTGTGGCTCAGATGTTTTCCCTTTACTCTACAGTAAAGTAACACAGACATTTCTCACATCTTAGGGTTTACTTTTGACCATTTATACAAAATATAATGATTCCTAAATACTGTATGTAAGCTTGATATTCTTATCTAACACTTCTATTTTCATGAATATTTTTTTCTGTGAATCAGGAAAATACTATCATTGTTTTTTGTTCTCCCTTTTGTTTAACAATTTTAAACACTGAATCTTCTTATCTATTGCCTTCTTTCTCAGGCATTCACCATTTAGCTCTTGTCTGATTCATATTTGCTCTTAGCAATTGTGCAGATGGGCTCCTGAACTATTATGCATGTTAGAGACCACAGTTACTTATGATGAACTGTTATTGTATTAATAAGTTAAACCAGCAAAGGTAAATGTACTGAAAGTTAAAAAATAAACACACAGAAGTAGTGATTTTTTTCTGAGCCCTTCACATAACCCTAGTCTTTAATTTTTCTTAAAAATTACGATTTTTCTTCTGTTCATGCCAGTCTTGTTTGTCAATGAGTGATTAAGCAGATAGGCCAAAACCCTGTCTAAACACTAGCCGAGGCATTCGAACAGCATGGGCACAGATTTACTACTGCTATGCATGTCCATGCTAAACTACTAAGGGGTGCTTGCCTGTTCACCTGATGTAAGTAACAGTTAAATAAAACACTTCCACCAAAAAAAAAAGTGTTAGAGATTTCTAGAAGTAACACACTTTCACATAGAGGGAAAGGTGATGACACATACCAGCACAGCTGTGATTAAAATCAGAAATGCGTCAGAGAACAATTTATAGCACTAAATCATAGGGTGGACCCATTGACCTTTTAATTGCAGAAGTTTAGAAATTATTTTCAGGGGTCTTTTTGCTCCATTCTTCCTATGCTAGGTTATAGGTAAAGAGCCTATCAAAGGTTAAAAGTTAATCTTTTGTTGGGGTTCTAGTGCCAGCCTGAAGGTATTGCAGTAGTGGTTCAGTACATTAATAGTGTAGTGGGAGATCCCAACATCCCATTTTCCAAAGTGTCATTCATTATTACTCCACTATTTCAGTAGAGAGCATTTCAGTTGCAGTGTTTGCTTTGTAACCAAAAAGTGTAACATTAATTGAAGGAACTAATTCAAAGAGAAACCTGGAGGCTACCACTGTTGAGTCTCACTGATTTCCTATCCTTATATTGGCCTTACAATTTGAACAGAGATCTGTAATGATCTCAGGAGACGTACACAATTCAAGAACCCAGTTGTTCATGATGCATGAATTGGAAAATTCTATGTACATTGGACAAATGTATTCAAGTGAAGTGAACAGTTCATATTCACTTATTCTTGTGCACTTACTACTTACTATGACTTACAGTGTACATGTTGCTGGAGGCTTCAAGCTATAGACATGGAGGAGTTTACCAACCTCTAATCTATGATGGTTGTTTTTTTGTTGTTTTTTTTACTAAGCATAAGACCTAGGGTGGAACAGATGAAGTAACTAATGAGTCCCATGTGCAGGGTTCGCAACCACTTCCTCCTGGGGTACTGGTGAGGTGAATAAGCCCTGTACTTGGGCTTGTGCTTTCTTGACACCCATCTTGAAGAACCTGCCCAATGCTAAAGGATCTACAGTCTAGTATCAAGTAGAAGATCTTTGTGGTCTCCTAACTTGGGTTTTTTCAGCCCATATGCCTAGTGTAAGAGAAACCACAGATATATATATATATGTGTGTGTGTTAAAGATGCTCAAAAAGAAAATAATAGAATGTCTGTAGGTCTTACAGGAGTACAGGAATATGTGCTATCCATTAATCAGTCCAGTCTATATCAAATCTTAAGGCAGAGGATTGCTTCACTCATCTATAGTGAAAATGAAAAGAAAAATAAAAGTCTTTCTGATATCTGTGTTTGTAAATTCAATCAATCTTTGTGATACAAATGACAAATATTAATAAAAAAAGGAAGATCCGCGGCTGCATACATTTTTATAGTTATGCTATCTTGTGTTCTGTAAAGGTCATATCAACTTCAATAACGATGCCCTTAATAAAGACAAAACAGTTATGTTTCACCTCCAGGAAAACAGATGGGAGGACATATGTGGAAATCATCAGGGACCCTACCAGCTACCCATTACACCTCTCAATTTGTTTTCACACCTTCTAGGCTTCTAGGCTTTATGCTGAAACACTGTTCTATTGTTAATATAAAGACAAAAGTTTTTACTCTAAGATTTTCATTTGTTTCGTGTGGCTTTATGTCTTTGATTTTCTGTCCTGCCCTATTATGAACAAACCACTATGAATAACAATTAGTATTTCGCAGGTGTTATTGCATTTGTTAATTCGTTTTTACCTTCCACAAGCATTCTATATGTATTTTGTCAGCAAATAAATGTACACCCATTGTGTAGAAATAGAACAGTATTCATGACAAATGTCAGTAACTCCTAAGCTTAGGCTGCAAGAAAAATACATTAGCTAAACACTAATAAAAGGAATATAAGGTTTTGTTTTTTTAATATATTCAAACTCTTTTCAAGAGCTATGTTGGCAGAAGAATCTTCGGTATCTGACGTTAATCTGGGAGTGTTGGATGCCTGACCCCCCACTTCACACAGTGGTTTTAGCTGCCAGCTACTACATTACTACAGGACACAGTAGTGATGTAGCAGCCGGGAAGGGGGGGCGGGGTCTGGAATCACAGCACACTCCCAGATGTGTCAGATTCTGAAGATTCTTTAGCCAGTGCAGTTGCAGTGAAGATCCATGGCATGGACAGCAAAACAGGTAAGAATAATACCTCTTCTTTTTTATTCTGCAACTGATTCACTTTTAATATTACTACAATAATTTAGCAATTTTTAACCACCCACATGGTGAAACAAAGCATATTTAGCTGCTGCTATCACACAGGTATAGTTCCCAATTTGGTGGAATATCATCGTAGGAGTGGGCCCTTTACTCTTAATGAAATATTAGGTGATAGCATTGTACTTGAAACCTGTTTGTCCATAACAAGCCATATACCTGTCTGATTATTGTACTGCCCATTGTGTGCTGAACGAGATGCCTGACAGTAATTAAAACAATCTGTCAAGCAATGAATAAATTGAGCATGCTGATTGCAAGGTTCACATTGTCATAATTTTTCTCTTACCATCCAGTGTTGAACTCCACATGAGCATCAAAAAATCCAACAATCGGTGCACTGGCTGCCTTCCATCCTTGTATGCGAGCCCGAATTAGTCCTTCTCTTCTTGTATTACGGACTATTTTCACAAGACCTGGATATCTCTTATTCACATACTGGTCCAAGTTGAATTTCAGTTCAACTATGAAGTGGAAAAAGAAAAAGGTCCATAACAGTCTAATATTATGCATTGTAATGTTTTCTGCAAAATATAAATTGAAATCATATTTGTTTAAATACTTTTTAGTCACCACAAATAAAGTCTACTCATTTTCAACCAGTATTGCATAATTGCGAACAATTACAAAGTGATAACCAGTTTAAAAAAATATTGCAATAATATATGCGTTTATTATTTTAACATTAGATTACCTCACTAGAAATAAGTTTAAAATAATATAGATTATTAGTAAGGATTAGATCTATTCTGTATAGTTTCTGCTTGCAAGGCCCAGGTAAGTAGACAAACTGACTGCAGAGTCCAGCAGATCACACAGGATGTAGTTGGCTCTGATGTGAGTTTCTCATTGTCCTGCTTTGTATTCTAGAAGCACAGTGGCTTCCAATACACAGAACAGGTAGATTTAAACTGACAGCTGAGTCTTATCATCCAGTGTTTAGCTTGGTGAATGCTGCTCGGAAGAGGAGCATGGGAAATTCCTTTGATACTTAGCACCATCTAATGATGGTAGTGCCATGCGAAGGGCATTTACCCAGCTATACGCTAGCAGGAGATTTATAAATCAGCCACATAAAGAAGAACTACACGCAGAATAAAACTTAACCCTTGCATTGGGGCTACCTTGGACCTGGCTGGATGCTAGACTGGTCCGTGCGGCCTCTCTCCTAGTTTGCACCGGTGGTATAATGAACCCGTGAGTCATCACGTCCAATACAGTATAAAGGAGAGAAAGGCTGCGGGGAGCCAGCCAGCTGGGTCAAAGGTTCAGTTAAGTAATTCTTTGTTATTTTACACCCTCAGCATAAATAAGCACTTAACCTTGCAGTGCAGGTAGCCCTACTGCAAAGGTTAAGTTTTCTTCTGCGTGTGCTTCTTCAAAGTGTATTTCCATTTTTATAGACAAATTTGAAAAACTCCTACGGCATATTTGTTATATGTTCCCATTCACACTGCATACCTCACAATAATAATAAAAAAAATATTTCTTACCTTTTTGGCTGTTTATTTGGAGCAGGATTATACATAGGACACTACAGGCAGGTTCTAGTGGTTAGAATAGATGGCAGTGGGCATATAGAGGGACAGACTGAGGGACAGTTTCTATAAGTGTATTAACATACAATGCCTTGAGATATTTAGCTTTTTGTTACAAGTGAATCTGCCAGCACAGTACAGAAATGTTTAATTATTTGAAACAAAACTCACCCAAACGCCCTCAAACAGTGAGAACTGAGCAGTATTTGTTAGTCTAAGTTAATCTAAAACAAGGTAAGCTGCAATTTTTAAATATTTATGCAATGCACTGTTCTGCAATGTGCAATGCAATGCAATGCAATGCAAAGTTGTGCAATGTGTACAGAAACATGTGAAAAAAATTAAGTAGGCATTATCCCAATTTGGCGGCAAAAGTGGAAATACACTTTAAGACACAGAACAAGACCTAAACCTTCATGAATTCATACAGAATCAGTAAACAATAAACAATTGTCCCCTTAATTACATAAACATTGGGAATAACCCTTTAATACATAAAACATTAATCTCGTGCAATATGTACAATGTTGTTTAAAAGCCCAAACTTCAGATATCCATCATCATACAAAAAGAATGTACTGTCTCAAAGGTGCTGAAATTGATCCTCTGTACTCATGCATTTGTTAATCCTCCATGAAAAATCACCAGTAGTACTTCTCTCAGGTATGGATCACTCACTAAATCCTATTTGACTCCATATTACTAAGGAAAGTCAAAGTGCACTTTTTGGTTACACAGATTGTGACTCTCCTTTACAAAGCAAAGACATCTCTGTCCTTCCTGTGAAAGTAATTTTTAGCTCATTACTGCACATGTCAGTTGAAACTGCTATACAGACGCACCTCTGTCCACGTCAGTTTCTCTAGCATTATGCCATATGGGTGCACCTTAACCTTTTTCTTCTAGGATAAGTGTGGTATCGAATTTTATTCTGTCTACGACAGCAGGGTTTTGGGTAGATATGGAGATAAGGTCTTTGCTGCTGACGTTTAACAAAAATTCAGTATTTGCATATCAGTAACAGAGCTGTTTAGTTTGTTTACTCTGCACATCCTGAAGAATAGAAAAGTGCATTTGACACAGCTGAGGGAGCAGATTATAAGGGTAATACTATACTTCTATGCTTGGGGATTGCAAAGGTTAAACTGTATGTCTATTTATATTTAACCCAGGGATATACAACTTGTCAATTAAAAAAAAAAGATGGTACACCGAGTACTGGTGGTACTCAGGAACATTTATACTTGCTGTTAGCTGCATGGCGTTGTAACCAAACCTGGAGTATATTACACTCACCATGCCTCCATTTGAACAACTCTTTTACCGGATCTCTACAGAGTTGACCTTTGAAATACACTATATTGCCAAAAGTATTGGAACACCCCTCCAAATCATTGGATTCATGTGTCCCAATGACCTCCATGGCCATAGGTGTACAAAATCAAGCACCTAGGCATGCAGACTGCTTCTACAAACACTTGTGAAAGAATGAGTCGCTCTCCGGAGCTCAGTGAATTCAAGCGTGGTACCGTGATAGGTTGCCACCTGTGCAATAAGTCAATCCGTGAAATTTCCTTGCTGATAAATATTCCACGGTCAATTGTTGGTTGGTATTATAGCAAAGTGAAAGCAACTGGGAACAACAGCAACTCAGCCACAAAGTGGTAGGCCACGTAAAATGATAGAGCGGGGTCAGCTCATGCTAAAGCACACAGTGCGCAGAAGTCACCAACTGTCTGCAGAGTCAATAGCTACAGACCTCCAAACTTCGTGTGGCCTTCAGATTGGCACAACAACAGTGTGTAGGGAGCTTCATGGAATGGGTTTCCACATCTGAGCAGCTGCATCCAAGCCTTCCATCACCAAGTGCAGTGCAAAGCGTCAGATGCAGTGGTGGTGTAAAGCATGCCGCCACTGAACTCTAGAGAAGTGGAGACTTGTTCTCTGGAATGACGAATCACTCGTCTCTGTCTGGCAATCCGATGGACGTGTCTGGGTTTGGTGGTTGCTAGGAGAACGGTACTTGCCTGACTGCATTGTGCCAAGTGTAAAGTTTGGTGGAGGGGGGATTATGGTGTGAGGTTGTTTTCAGGGGTTGGGCTTGGCCCCTTAGTTCCAGTGTAGAGAACTCTTAAGGCATCAGCATACCAAGACATTTTGGACAATTTCATGCTCCCAACTTTGTTGGAACCGTTTGGGGATGACCCCTTCCAGTTCCAACTACGTACCAGTGCACAAAGCAAGAGAGAGTTTGGGGTGGAGGAACTTGACTGGCCTGCACAGAGTCCTGACCTCAACCCGATAGAATACCTTTGGGATGAATTAGAGCAGAGACTGCGAGCCAGGCCTTCTCGTCCAACATCTGTACCTGACCTCACAAATGCACTTCTGGAAGAATAGTCAAACATTCCCATAGACACACGCCTAAACCTTGTGGGCAGCCTTCCCAGAAGAGTTGAAGCTGTTATAGCTGCAAAGGGTGGGCCAACTCAATATTGAACTCTAAAGACTAAGACTGTGATGCCATTAACGGTTATGTGCGTGTAAAGGCAGGTGTCCCAATACTTTTGTCAATATAGTGGATATCATTTGCTATGGATTGTGTGTTTTTGGAAACAGATTTTTAAATGTGTGTACTATCTACTTATTGTCCCACTTCCTTTGACCATTTTATACTATGAACAAAATGAATGCCCAATCATATTTCAAATACTAACACCACCATACAAAACAATTTACAACTTTGCCCCAAACTACTTCATCTATCTTGTCTCAAACTATCATCTAAACTGTCCTCTTGGCTCCTCCTAAGAGCTCCCTCGTCATCTCCTCCCATGCTTGTCTCCAGGCCTTCTGCCCCACCCACTGGGATCCCTACACCAATCTCACCAGCTTTCTCCTATTCTGTACACTTCTGGATGATCCCTCTTCAGGGAAGCCTATCCTACCTCCATCTCAAAACTTTACCTTCTCCATCAACTCAGCCCCCCACAGTTACTACCTCTTGCTTAACTTGCCCCTCCCTTTAGATTGTAAGCAGCACCTCCTTTCATTGTATTGTAACTGTACTGTCTCTCTTTAACTTGTAAAGCAACTGCACAAACTCTTGACACTATATAAATCTTGAATAATAATAATATTTAATAATAATTTAAAGCATCCCCATAAATAGAAAGGATCCCTACTATCGATTTGTCTGCAAAGTAAAATGTAGGCACCTCCTCACCTTGTTTAAGTCTGCAGCAATCATAAAAAGACACAATTTCAGATTTTACCATTAGAAATGACTGTTCCAAGCTACAAAGGTAGTGCAAAGATCCATGGCGATGTTCCTAGTTACCACCCTTTAGATAACTCAATTATTGTTCAGACATCTGGTACATTTTCATTGTATTGTAACTGTTCGGTCTCCCTTTATTTTGTAAAGCACTGTGCAGAGTGTTGGCACTATATAAATACTGTATAATAATAGTAATACTTTGAAAATCACTCACAAGGCAACCAAGGTGGGTGCTTAGGGCCAGGTGGGTGTCTAAGACTAGAGTCAAAAATTGAAAATCTGCCATTTAGGTGAACACAGGTGATAGAGCCTGCTGGCATATAATCTCTATTTTTCACAGCACTTATTCTCTGCACCAGACTCTGTTGCTCTGCAAATCCCTATGATCAATGACAACCTAGTTTCATGAAATCTTCTATTTTGAGGCTGTAATTATATAGGTTTCTGCTGTTCACAAATTCTCCATGTGAAAACATAAAATGTGAACAAACAACACGTCCATTCAAATAAACATTGTTTGGTATTTGGATAGTTTCATGGGACAGAGTACAAGACTAAAATTAAGGTGACTATACCACAGTAGTAATATTTTATGAATAAGTTAAGCAAAAAGGAAGGGGAATAATGTTCCCCAAATCACACAATTAAATTATTGCTTTAAAGTGTACCTAATCTTAATTTTCACCATTACCCCTGTTCAATTTAAGCGTTCTTGTTTATTATGAGAAATATTGTTACTAATAGCCATATTTATCTACTGCCCATCTACAGGGTTCCTGTAATACAAAATGATACTTTCCATAATAAAATCATATCATAATTAGCAGCAGTATTATTACTATTGCCAATCACTACAACATTAACAAAGATCTGCTGTTAGTTGCTAACCTGAAAAAAAAAAAACACTTTTGTAGCTCTAATGTAAAAGAAGAATGGAGGCTGAATATCTCTTATGCAACATTATCAAATGAACAGCAGGGATTATAACATTTTCTGAACACTGTGAATGGTTTCTGTTTTCATTGACACGATGCCTTGCTGGCTCATGGACAAGTAATTTTTAGTAAGAATATATTTAAAGGATGCATCAAAAAGATTAATCATTTTGTCTTCTGAGAGAAGTGTCTAGACATGATTTTAGGTCCATATGCAAAAATGCACACATTCATTGTAATGTATCATACGAGTAAGAGTATGTGGCATTTATTGTACATACTGGGTGATTTAGAATATTTATCTCTTTAAAAGTCAGACAGTTATGGGAATCTCCCACCAAACTGATATTTTAGTTTTGGTTCCTGGCAAGTTCATTGATATGCTAGCTTCTCATGTATTTTCGGAATTGTATTAGCAAGATATCTTCACCTAAATTTCCAGTACTTCCCAACTACTACAGATGGATTCTTGATAATGTAACACAAGCAAATGATTGTTCAATCTAATCATTGGGGGTGACATTTTTGTTATGGCTTAGTAAGAGGGGTTGATGCAGACAGACTTGCCACAAGTGTCTCTGAAGGATACTGTCTACACCAGTGGCTAACCCCCGAGGGAGGTGGCGTGTGGTCTGTACCGGGTGCTGACCCTTTGAAGGCCATGACTGATTACTATATGAGGTGGATTATTCATTTACACAGGCCCACTCCACACCCAACCTGCAGGATTCAACAAGACTGGTAAGCACCCCTGTCTTATGAAACGTCCCTGCATGGAGCAGATCTACTGAAAGCACTTGATGCTGGACATACAGGAGTTGAATACAGAGGGACTGCACAGGAAGCTGAAGGGATACAACAGGGAGATAAGACTCAGGGGAAGTGGAGGACATGGCTATCTGCAAACCCTGCCATGTGATGACTCCAGATAAATTGCTGCAGCATACCTGGCATTGCTGAGCCTGGGAGGTGAGACATCACTGCCTATGTTTGGCTTGTGCCCTGCTAATTATGTCTGTTGGGGAGTCTTGCGGGATACCCCTGGGTGTCCTGCAGTGTGGAGAGGGACTGGAGCTTTTTTGTCTGCTGACTCAACATGCAGGGCATGCAGGGAACAGTGTCTTGTGCTTATGGTAATATTAAGATATCAATTGACAGTGGTGTGTCAGTGTGTGCTAATATGGCAACGGTGTGTCTCTCTGTAGTACTGTTACAACCATGTGTCAGTATGTGGAAATGCGACAGCAATGTGTCAGTCTGGCTGCGTGACATCCTAGGTGCCAACAGTGATAAATCCTGCTGGACAGTTCTGTGATTTTGGACACTGTTCAGTGGTGTGAGTGCTTGCAGTGCCTGGTGTTAAGTAGCAGTGTTACTACTTATGCAATGGAATAAATGTATTTGGGGCTGCTTATTTTAATAGCAGAAATAATTTTAGGGGGCCTTTTCTAATTATCACTGAAACAAATTTTCACATATTGTGGGGTGTTAAAAAAAAAGTCTCTCCCCAGTTGACAGATATGTTAAGTATGCCACTGTCTCACACAACATTGAAATATCTTATTTGGCGTTGACCTTTAAACATAATGATTGCAATTTATACTGCAATCCTATCATTTAAACACAGCTGCAAAAAAAATTACACAGATGAGTGATTTATTTATAGTGACTTTGCAGATTGTACTTATTCTTTCTTGTAGGTTCCTTATTGTTGGAAGCCTATTGGACTAAACTCCTGGTGGCATGTCACAGTGGCAAGGGGTTAACACTTTTGCCTTTGAGATCTAAGGTCCTGACTCCTGATTTTAATTCCCAGTAAGAACACAATGACTGTGGAAATGTTTGTATGTTGTCTCCATGTCTGGTTTGCTCCCACAATCCAAACACATACCATTTGCGGAGACATTAAATTAGGGTGGGGACTGATGTGAGTGTTTCAATAGTCTCTGTAAGGAGCTGCAAGAATTCTGACACAATTCAATTAAGGAGAAATAAGGAGAAACCAATGTATTTAGTTTTTTTTTCAGATTGTACTTATTTTTTATTTGGGGTTCATTTTTGGTGCAAGACTAAGGGGTCTATTCACGAAGCAGCTGAAGGATCTAGCCGTAGCTTCGGACGATCCTTCGGCTAGATTCGGCCCCAGGATCCCTTCAGTTCAGTAGAACCGTCGGGCTATTCACTATAGCCCGTACAGCTCCCGAACTTGGCTGAGCTCAGTCGAGCCAAGCGCATATGCCTCAGCTCGGCTGAGTGGGTCGGCCGAACATGCTGGGCATGTTCGGCCAACCCAAAGCCACATGAAGCCACCCGATGTACGGCTGATTTCAGCTGATATACGGCTGAAATCAGACGTACCAGCCTGAAGTGAATAGCCGAACAGCGTTCGGCTCACTTCGCTTTAGGTCGGTCATTCACTCGACTGCCTATGGCAGCTTAGTGAATAGACCCCTAAATCTCTGACTCCTTGGATTACCTTGTAATAGTTGCAAAAGGTAGATTGCGTTCATACAATTAATTTTTATCTACTCAAGGAGTCAAGCTTAAAGAGCATGTTTTAGTTTTTAAATACCATATTTTGCACTTTCAATCCTGAAGCACCTTCTAACAAACTTTCCAATGCAACCAGGCGGAATTTAATTGACCTGTATATGGTGAATGGAATACGTGTTCTCATTTGTAACAAACACTTACCATTGTCACTATTATCATCTACAAGAATGATCTCTTTCAGGAGATGAGATGGAGTGTGGTTGACTACACTGTGCACCGACCGTAGTATTACAGATAAGGCTTCATTTACAAAGATGAACACCACAGCAATTTGAGGCAGATCATCGGGGTAACTCAACTGTTTGCACCTATAAGAAAAAGATTTAAAAAATGATGAGTCATTCTGACGCCTTAGAATCATATGCAGTTACCATGAAAAGAAGTTGCATGTGCAAACATAGGATAGCCATCAGTCATTATATATCAAATAACCGAAAACAATACCATGGAGCCTAGAGCAATAAATATAAACAGGAAACTTTACTTGGAAATTATGTCTGCCAAGTATCACACAGATCTACCACACATATAATGCTTTGCAGCACTCGATTCAGACTGAGAACCTACTATGACACACTAAAGACAGGGTTTAGGATATGATTTATTCATTAAAAAATATTTTACTCACATTTATAGAACAATTTACTCATAAGATGCAAATGATCTCTGACAATATCTAGGGTAAGATAAGCGAGCATAGTGTTCAAGCCAAAAGCATACTTTTTACTAACCAAATGTGTACACAACACATTTCAAGGGGCATTTCTGCACTTGTTAGGAAATAATAAATATTTTATGAAAGCAGATCTTAATTATTATACAATAATCTGTTTTTTTCATTATTATTATTTACAATTATTATTATTATTATATAACAAATAATTGAAGCCTATATGCTGAACTACGCAGTAGAAGGGAGATGAGTGATCATGCACACTTGTTCATGATTCCATAGATGGGCAAATTCAGTATGCTTTCAAAATAATCCAAACCGCATTCAAAATGAGTTGGAGATGAGTCATTGATAGGTGCAGTCAACCAGTAGTTGACCTTATTCTTGACTTCATTTGACCTCCTTCTGACCTGCATTAACCTAATTAAGAATTCCCATTGAATTGTATGTTAAGAAATACAATTATGTCATGAACAAAAACCCTCACTTGTGGTTTTGCTGTATGCACATGGTGAAGTAATACATGGAAATTGAACAGTTCATTATTCACCAGTTTTAAGCAACACAACAATGAAAGGTGATCACTGACCAGTTCTATGACCAATTGCTCTTTGAATCCTAACTGGTGGTTAATGTATCCAATCACTTATACCGTGTTTCCCCGAAAATAAGACAGTGTCTTATTTTTTTTTTCACGAAAAAAAGATGAAGATAGCACTATCTTATTTTCGGGGTAGGTCTTACTTTCGGGGAAACACGGTAACACCAATAAACAAAATACACTAATCCACAATCAAAAATACAATTGTGCATGTGGTTCATGTTAAATGTTTTCAAGGATAGTATGAATAGCCCACTAAGTAAAACATACCTACATAAATGAATCTAAGGCCTAAGGCCATACATTGTTCTGGTGAGGAACAATGTAAAAAAAAAAAGTGGGCTTTGTGGTCACTCCCCACGAGGGACAATGTCAACTTGCACGTGCCAATAAATGCATAAAGCTGGAATAGCAGATATGGCTCAAATATGCTCTGATTGCTCTGATAGTACACCAATACACCACACAGAAAACCAGGAAGCAGAAAAAAGTTGAAGCCTAGTGATGACACAGAAGATATTGATTTTCATTGGTCAAAGAGAAAAATGAAGAACACACAAAAATGCTCTGAAAACAGGCGTTAAAAACTTGCATCAAAAATATGCTAAAAAACGCAGGAAAAAGCAGGCACAAAGGTTTGACCCTAGCCTTAGAGGAAAATAAGTTTTATGTCTCTTTATCTACCACAGCTTTTCCTACAGGGCCATTTGGAAAAGTCACCTCCATGTAACGAAGTTACTTGAATATAACAAGGAATCACATATCAACTTGTTACAAAAACAAAGGCATATTTGAGGTCGCCTTCAAGTTTTATGACCTATGTAAAAACATCAATTCTACTGCTCTGTGCTTTTACATGGCCAGAGAATTCCTTTGCGTCTGCTGATTCCAATGGGTGTATTTATAAAGCAGTGAATGTGACTTTCCCCCAAACATTCACTGCAGGTGAAATAACCACTGCCAATTAAAACACATGCACCAGGAATATTCATAAACCAGTAAATGTTTGGTAAAAGTCACATTCACTGCTCTGAAAATATCCCCCTTAGGGTTTTAATTACTTGAATGTGGGGGGTAGGGAAATTTCATCCAACTTTATACAAATTGCAGGCATAAAAAGATGAACATTTTTGTTAAACTTTTTTCTTCCATTTTACCCTTGAAAACTGTCATTGTAAATTAATTCTAACAGTATTAGAGCAGATATGAACAAACAAGCTTTGTGTATCACTCTGTCAACAATTTTACAGATACAGTTCTAAATTTGTTGCAGTTTAGAAACACTTCAAATGATGTGTTAGATTTTCTTGTACAACTATTTACGGCAGAATGGTGCTGAAAGTTTAACTGATGCCATGTCTTGCTGTTATTTACTTAGCTTCAAGAACAATATAATGTACCAAGGTCTTTCTTTATTTCATTTCCGCTACACAATGATTTTTCTATCCAATTCAGAATAGAAGAACTGATCTCTAATTAGTATCTGCATTTACTTTAGTCCAACTTAGATTGTAAGCGCCTTGAGGGCTGGGATTGATATGAATGTACAATATGTAGAGTGCTGCATAAATTGTCAGTGCTATATAAATACGTGTAATGAATAAATAATGAATAAACTTAAAGAATTTCCTCAAGGGCCATGATGAGTAGTGGCCTTAAATTCACTTTTTAGCTCAGGACAAATAGCCCAAATATCTGTGACTTACATATGATTGTATTATAATAAATTAACACAATCCTATATAATGCACCACATATATCATATGCAAGTGTGTCTTTGTGAAATTAGCTGGATGGCATCTCCTGGCTGCATTAGGGAACCTTTAATAAACAGTTACCACCATTTAATATGGAGCTGCAAAGAAGTATAATCTCAATAGAAAAAATGTGTATTTTCCATCTAATCTTTTCTACTCATAGGTGATGTTGACACCCAATGGTTGAGTATTTAGTATTTTAGATTAGGAACTTTAGTCATGACATATTAGAATATTGCTACAAGAAATATTGATACCATAGTTCATTGGATATATCATATGCCTTCTACACTTACTTTTTAGAAACACCTTGTATATTAAAGAGTTTCAAATAAAGTATATCGTCTGCAAAAACAGTAATGGTCTGGGCAAGTAAGGTAGAAGACATAGGCACAAATGTTTTTCTCAAGCACTAACTTTATTCTTACTTCAGATATATCCCCATAAATAAACTTTGTAGTCAAGAATATAGATAGAAATAAAAATATACAAGCTTTCTGTGGTTACATCTATTTATTGTGTGGACGAGGTATGACTACTGCAAGCTGTAGAATTCGTCAGTTTATTTAATTATTTATTTATTTTATTCTAGTATTCTGACACATCAAATACCTGACAAAAAGTATTTTCCTATTTATAATAGAGAGTTTAAATAAAACAATATTAATACATTACAATTATACAGAAAATAAATGAGTGTCAACAAAAACTGTACAATTTTAATGCATTTGTTTCTCTTTCCTATTTTTCTAACTTCCTTCTTGCCTTCCTTTCTTTGTTTGTCTTCTCACTATACTACACAGACAAATACTAATTCAGCCAGCTAGTTTGTTTCATAGTTAAAGTGCAACTCTAAGTTCACCTCTGTCAGGGGGTTATTTCTGTCTGTTTCTCTGTTGTGGATTTTCTTTCACTTCCTGTTCTACTATAACTAAGACAGGAAATAAGAGATAATCTATAATGAATCTATCAAAAATGAAGGCAAACAGCAATAAATGGTAAAAACTAATTTTAGTAACAGTATTTTACTAACTCCTGCAGTATCTCTACCAAAGCCCCACTCAGGAGATCTGCCTTTCCTTCATGTCTTGATGATACTTTTTTTTAGGGACGACTGGGTGTTACTGAGTCAGGAAGTAAGCAGAAATCTCCCCAGTGTGACACAGGTTCTAACCCTTCCACACTGTACTACAAAGCTGCTATCTTCCAGAATTATATCTATTGTAAGTTGAAAAACGACATTTGGCTAGTATTGAAATTTAATGAGATTTCGACTGTATACCAAATATGGCAAAGACAAAAACTAAAATCAACCCAGTGTATTGCTGTTCCTTGGTTGAGGATTTTGGTTGAGGCTTGCATCAGCTATGAACCCTATCCCTGCCAAGGTCTTAATATAATGACAAAATAGCACCACTTCCAGAAGGCTATTGCTGTAAAGTCAGCTTGTTTGATTTACGAAAGAAGTGAGAATGCTCCCTTAGCACAGTGAATGTTGACCCCATACATGATTGGGTATGGGCTTTACTTTATTTTGTAAACTAAAAAAAGTATTTTATTTTTGGTAAAGCTCCTGTTGTATTTTATTGCTGATTACAAACTCATGGCCATTTCAGTTATGCTGAGCTTGCACTGAAATGAACTCCAACGTGCATACAAAAAGATGTAGATGATCTGCAAGCCTAAAGAAAAGTAGAGAGGCTTCCCCCCTTTAACATCACTAGAACCACTCCTACAGTGTTAACTGTTAGTGTCCTAGCAGCCAAGGCAGCATAGTTGAGCACACCCGTGATGTCAGGGCTATTTTTAGAACCCTAATGCCTTATTCCATTGTAACGTGTGTTATATTAAGGCAGCCCACCGCAACAGATCAAAAAATTTCACCTTTTTTAGCAATGCAATCAGTGGGAATGAACTATGCACACATTGCCACAACACACAACTGCGAACACAAAAACTATAGGTTTTCGGTGTTTTCCACAAGTCCAACTTGAAACATCTTAAATGATAAAAAGTTGTAGGTAGGTGTGCTCTGTAAAGGTTTTCGAGACCAGTGAATAGCAGAACTTAAAAGGATACTTGTGCCACAAGAGATACCCAGAGACTACCATTGTTTACCTTCTGCTTAAATTACTAGTTGCCTGGCTGTCACTTGCTTCATTGCTTTCTAAGTCACTGACGTGGAACAAGCACACAGGCTTTGAAGTCAGAATTTCTGATATATATTTACAACCATGGATTATAAGGAGTAGGATTTATGGACCAACACAATGGTGCATAAGTCCTACTCCATATAAGCCATGGTTTCCATATAGTGGACTGATGACGGCCAACTAACCTAAAAAAGCTGCATGCAGTTTGTAAAAATTGGCTCTATAATATTAAGCTGTCCTATTAACCAGAGATTTTGGATGAATACAGGCATAAAGTCAGGTTCCGTCCACTTTCCTAAAATAGGAATAAATCCCTAATTTTGTTGGAAGTGAGACATAAGAAGGCTCTACTGTGTTTAGGAACATAGAAAAGTAGAAATATCCTCTTAACTGCATTGGCCAATAAAAATGAGCACGGGTTAATTTGTCTGTTAATATTTTACCACCTACGTTTAGGTACAATAATAATAATAAAATAACAAAACCATTATTTAAATGTTTAGTTTTGTATTAACCTCTGGAAATAATGTAAATAAAATGGATGATGGACCTTACAATAGATTTGCTGAATGAAGGAAATTAACTGCTGACTGCTGAATCCATTTAGCTTCAGACAGTGTGAAATATTTCAGGTTCTAGCAGAGAACAATAGGAAAGCCTCATCTTTTAAATTTATTTTCACACCTGACTCACGGATCTCTTGAGGGATAAAGAAAAGATGGCACTTTAAAACTGTCAGCCTTGGTTAAGGATCTCGGTAACTCACACATGTCCTTTTATTTCTCTACATTTTTCCTTGGATCCTTGACTGTGGAAAACCTTTGCTGTGTTGATCAGTCAAGAATCACTTGTTTTTTGGAGATTAATTGCTGTCCTGGTTCTACTTACTGCATATACTGTATGGTTTCAAGGGGCAAGTACATTGTTGAGCAGGAATTCAAAAACAAAAGATGATGCCAGATGTTCTTAAACTATTCTCCCCTGATATTATTATTCACT